AAACGAAAACAGTTATTTTAAATAATGAAAAAATATCAAAAAATGATACAAAACATATAAAAGTCGATTCAAATCAAATATATATCAACATTATGATAATAGTAAAATAACAAATAGTAGACAAAAATAAAAGATAGTACGTTAATTAAAGTATTTGTTTGTTGTAATATAGCATTTGCTATAATTGAAAATTCTTTTTTATAGATTATTAAAAATTTTATGTGAAGAATACACTATACCATCAAGAAAAAAACTAGCAACAGAACTTCTTGAACAAGAATTAGCAAGAATTAATCTAAAAGTTGAAAAAGTTTTAGAAATTACAAATAATTTAATATTAGATAAATACATATTTGTATATTATTTTATTTTTTAAATAAATAAAAAAAAATAATAACAATAATATAAAATCTTTAATTTAAAAAACGATAAATATACAAAACAGTAGCTATAATTAGGATTCCTCAAAATTGAATCAATTTGAATCGATTTGAATTTGATCGAATCAAATCAAATTGAATCAAATGTTTGTCAAATCAAATCAAATCAAATATTTGATCAAATTGAATTGAATTGAGTCGAATATAAAATTTTTTTAATTTTACAATGATATCTATATAACTAAAAAAAATGTGTATCATTTATATTATTATCCTATATAAAAAAAATTGTATTGTGTAATGTATATCAGGCTATAACCACAGATTCCAGTAAATCACATCACGAATCATATGATTTACTATATCTTATGACTTTATCAATATATTTCATGATATTTAATATTGCCAAAAAATAATATGAAAGAACAGAAATACTCAAGAAATACTTCTGACTTTAAAGAAAAAAATATTTATTTATAATAAGAATTTATAATAAGAAAAAAAAAAATAAAGTCAAAAGTTATTTTTGTAATATTTATGTAGATCTTTTTTTAATAGATAAAAATCACCTAGCTGGCCTTATAGTTATTTTTTTGTTAGACAATTTATATCTTGAAGTTTAGTTAGGCTATTATGGAATTTAGAATCATAGTTCAGATCATTCATCAAAATCCGCAATGTTTTAGATTTAGAAAAATGGTTTAATCTGAAATATTAATTTGAGTTATTTTATTTTTTTTTATCATTATTTTTTTTTGAAATATTTATCCTTCCTTTTAATTAATACAACAGATTCTCAAACTAACGATAAAAGTAATAGTGCTTTAAAATATAACCTATCAAGAACCAGTCTAAATATTCTTAACCATTATAACCGGTTAAAAATTTAACCAGTTCCAACCTCTAGTATTAAAATAAAGTTATTCTAAAGTTTTAATTAAGAAAATTATTAGTAATTGCACTAGTAAATTTCAAAGTTAGCTTTTACAAAATAAGTTTAGTAACAGGTGAATTTATACTATTAAACTTAGTAAAATAACTCCACAATTTTGGTTTTACTAAGAAAACTTAATAATAACCACCATCATGATTTTGATTTACTAAGAAATTTAGTAATAACTGCTATTGCAGCTTCAGTTTTACTAAGAAAACTTTGTAATAACTGCCATCGTGGCTTCGTAATAATTTTATTAGTAAAAAAATATCTCTGAAGCTGCAGAGGTATTTTTACTTTGTTTTCTTAGTAAAATAGCGTCTCCGAAGCTACAAAAGCATTTTTTACAATAGTTTTCTTAGTAAAAAGGTATTTCTGAAGCTGCAAAGACGCTTTTTACTATAGTATTCTTAGTAAAAAGGCATTTTTGAAGCTGCAAAGATGCTTTTTGCTATAGTTTTCTTAGTAAAAAAGGCATTTCTGAAGCTGCAGAGGAGCTTTTTACTATGATTTTCTTAGTAAGAGCCACTCCTAAAGCTTTGGAGATGGCTTTACTATTGATTCAAATCAAATCAAATATTTGAATACTTGATTTGAATTTGATCGAATCAAATCAAACATTAATTTAAATTTGATCAAAAAATCATTCTTTGATTTGAATTTGATCAAATCAAATATTCAAATATCAAATCGAGTTGGGAAACCCTAGCTATAATAATTATAATAAATAAATAATGGCAAATTTAATAATTTAAATTATAGCACTAGATGTATGAATATCATCTACAAGACATTCTTTATGGAATTTTATAATTCTTACACCAATTTGAGAAAAATATTTATTTCAAATTAAAGATTTATAGAAGTATCATTTACTAGAAAATTAATTGCAGAAGAAATTCTTAAAATTCTTAATAAGATTGATATTAGTAAATTTTGTGCAATAATAACTAATAATGTTTTATTAGTACGACAATTAATTTTAACACAATTTCTAAAAATCTTTAATATTTGATGTATTGCATACTATATAAATCTTATTTTATAAGATATCTTACAGCATAATTTTGCAGCAAAAATTATAAAATATTGTAATATTTTAATCAGTTATTTTAAAAAAACATATCAATGCGATGATTTACTTAAATAACTAATTTTAAAAAATGATATTTTAGGAGGAAGGTTAAATATATATGATAAGACTAGATGATTACTGTTGCTGAATGTACAGCATTAATTTTATGACTTAAAAGTTATTTTATCAAAGTAAGTAAATATTTTCTAATATTAAAATTCAATAATTTATTAATAATTTTAATATTTAATTTTAAACAAATCTATGAAAAACATCATGAATAAAAAACAAGTATAGCTGTAAAATCAATTATTAATAGGAGAGGTTTTTTTTAATGATGATGTAGTACTTACCAATATATTACTTCCTATCAAATAAGCAATATTATTTTTAGAATGAAAAATGACAATTTAGGAGATTGTTTTGTTAAATTATTAAAGATTGATATTTAATATCAAAATTTATCAAGTTTCAATTATAATATATTTAAAATTATTGTATAAAAAAATACAATAAAAGGTAAATTTTTAAAGTATTGTTTATATTTTATAATAATAATAATAAATATTTATTTTATTTATTTTATATAATTATTAGATTTAATGATTTTAACAATGATATTTATTTAATTGCATTTTTTTTGCATTCACGTTTTAAAGGTTTATATATTTTTTTATAATTTATTATTTAATTAATAATTTTTAATTATAATATTTAATATTTTAATATAGGATCAGATATTACTAATATTTATATACAAGAAATTTTAATAAAAGTTAGTAATATTTATAAAATAATAGGTTATAAAAAAAGATTGTAGTGAATTAATTAGTTAATTAAGAAGTTAAAAATTAAATAAAATGCTATTTAATATATCTTATCTTTATGGAGAAGATAATCCATTAAAATGATAAAGCATATGTTTTTCTGCAAAAAATTAATTGCAAAATTTTGCAATTCAATTATTTTCAATAAGTCTACATGTAGCAAGTTGTGAAAGAATATGGTATATTAATTTACTTTATTATTAAATTTATTAAATTTTTTATATTAATAATTTCTATTTTATAAGTTATTTGTAGGATGGATTTATGGAAAAAGATAGACTCAATTATCTATTGCTACAATAAAATTAACAACAAAAATATATCATTTTTATATAGGAAATATAAAAAATGAATTAAATGATAATCATAAAATAATAAAAGAAGAAGAAATTATCAAAATAGTTAAAACATCTTTAAGTGAAAGTTATGAAGAAATAGTTGAAGAAATAATGAAATAAGTATTTTATCAAGTTTAAGAGCACAGGAAGGAGTAGTAAATATAGATATAGAAGAAGAATTAGAAATAGTAAAACAATTTAATTTGGAACCAATTATTATTATCGATCATGTAGATATATTAGATTCGAAAAATATAATGAAACTGATGATGATAAAGATGACGATGATGATTATAATATGGAAGAATTAATTTGAATTAATTAAAGAATTTGTATAAGTACATAACAAGATTAGTGTATATTTATATATATTTGTATTATTATTTATTATTGTATAAGGAATAATCTATTAAAAATTTTAATTAATTTACTTTAATTTTCTAGTAACAATATACTGAATTAAATATATAAATTTATGTATATATATATATATATATATATGTATTTATTAAAAATAAACAACATGAACATTGTTTTTTTTTGTTGAATAAAATTAAATAAAATGCCTAATTACAAGTGAAAGATATAAAAAAAATAATCAATTTATTAAAATATATTACATGAATTGTAAATCGAATTATATATTTTTATAATACTATAATAATTTATTGATAAAATTTAATTATAAATATTCCAGAAAGCTCTAGGATCTAACCTATAAAAAAAAGAATAAAATATTAGTATCATTTCTATAAAAAAAAATATTCCTTATTCCATCTTTAATTATCTATCAAAAAACTATTTCAAAAAACTTCAGATATAGCCTATAAAAAATAGTAATGAAATTTTAATATTACTTCTATAACAAAAGAAAATATTTTGATTTTCCATTTTAATTACCTATCAAAGGACTATTTTAGAAAGTTCCAAATCGAATCAATAAAAAAAGGAAGGAAAATGTTAGTATCATTCCTATAACAAAAGGAAATATATTCTCTTATTCCATTTTAAATTACCTATCAAAGGACCATTAAGAAACTCCAGAATATTATCTACAAAAAAAAGGAATAAAATGTTAGTACTATTCTATTTTAATAATACAATCTTTATATTTTAATTAACCACCTTACCTTTCATTAGCCATTCTAAGAAGCTTCAAGGTATAACCTAAAAAAAAATAGAATATTAGTGTTTAAAGTTTATAAATCAAAAAATAAAAAAATATATAAATTCAATCAAATAAAAGCCCGATTTATCTAAATAAAATCTAGATAAATAAATATTGGAAATTAAATTAATCGACTGATCAACAAAAAAAGATCGCAAATATTAAGTTATATTAATACTTTTTATTTATTTTATTAGTTTTTTTCCTTTTTTCAGTTTCAACTATTTTTATTTAGAGGTTTTGAAACTCAGAATTTAAATGAAAGTATAGAAAATTCTATGGAAATAGATAAGAAAGTTAAATTAAATGAAACATTACAAGTTATGAGTGAAGTTAATAAAGAAAATGTGAGTGGTAAAGTTAAAATGTAAAAGAAATAACTTATTAGTGTGCGTTATTTAAATAGGATAGTTTTTTAGAAGATATTAATATATATCTATCATAAATATTTTTTTGTCAAAAATTATATAACAATATTTTAAAAATAATAAATTCTAATTCTTATAATTAATTTATTCAAATTTTTAGCTTTCTGAATTCAAAGAGGTTTTTCTTTTTTCACATTTTGACTTATCGCCAATCATTCTTGTTAATTTTACTTCCTGACAAAATTTAAATTCTACATTACAAAAATCTGAAATAAAAGAAATTTTATTAATAAATCTTGGAAAAAGATCAAAGGAATCTTATTTAGTTATAAGTATTTTTTTCTTTTTATGCACATGTTACATGTTTTAAGATATCACAAAGACTATTTTAAACTCAACGTGGTTTTCCTAACTAGTTTTTTTATTTAATATTTTCATAGGTGCGTACAAGTGCTAGAGATATAATTATATATAAAGCCTATCAATATATTTCTGACAGCGATTTATTTGATCTTTTTCAAAAATTACAATCACAAGCCGAATTGTCTGAATGTCTTGCAATACAATTTTTATGAGTTTTTCAGGAATATAGGAGTCAGTTAGTAGAAAAGAGGAAAATCTAAAATTTTTGCTAATTTTAATTATTAAGCTAATTTTGTGCATATGACCGAGATCATTTAAGTAGTCCAATAATATAAATTTTGACCAAAATTTGAATTTCTTTCTTTTCTACTGACCATCTTTATATATATCATACAATACTATCTATAGTAATATACATAATAAACTTGTCTAAAAAAGATCGACTCAACGAGAGCCTAGTAAAAATGATATAGACCAATTTGATGATGTAATAGAGAGACAAATTTTTTGACTTGGGCAAATTTCACGAAAAATTATACCCTTCTTAAATATTAGTGGATATAATGGAATTTTTATAGCTGATGTTAAACCTATATGGTTATGAATAGCAAATAATAATTTTTTGAAATTGCATCCTATGTGTTGTTAGCCAAAGAGCTAGAAATAAAACTTAGACAATATAATTCAGTCCTTCGAATTAATCACAATAACTTTATCATAATAACACCTGTATGAAGACACGGTAAAAGGTAATAGTAAATGAATAACAAATATCTTTATTAAACTTTATTCACAAAATCCTATCTCAAGTTATCTTTCAACTCAAGGAAAAATACATGCTATTTATATAAAAGTAATATAATATGATAAATATATCTAATATAATAAATATAACTAATATGATAAATATATCTAATATAATAAATATAACTAATATGATAAATAAAATAAATATAATAAATTTATCAAATATAACAAATTTAATAAAGTTAATAAAGTTAACAAATATTATAAATATAATAAATATAAATAATTGGTCAAATATGATCAATCTGTCATATTTGTCAACTAAATCAGATGATCGCCACAGTTACAGATCACGGCTTTAGTGTATTGATGATAAAATTAAATGTTTTACTCAGTTTCATAATGTACATTATAAATAAGGATTTTTTTATGTTAATTGTAAGGTAAAATATTTATTGATTTTTTTAAGCATAATACATTCACATTTAAAACAATATTTATATGACTTTCATTCAAGATTTAGAATATTTTAAAATTATTTGAGTTAATATCTGATTTTAAATATGATATAAAATGGTTTATAAAAAAATTTTCTTTAAATTGAACGGATTATAGTATTAAATATTATGCAGAAATGCAAGTATAACTTCCATTCCTGTTGAATTTATTTTAAGAAATGAGAATAGGGACCCCTATTAATGATGTAGAATAAGATAAGTTATTTATTAATAGTGTTATCTTTTTTAATTTATTGAGCAATTAACTGATAAATTTTTGGATGAAAAGAAAGAGATCAATTATTGCTAAAAACTTTAAAATTCTCGTTAGAATTGATATTTCTAGTAATATGAGAAACAGTAGACAGGTTTGCTAATTGTTTTCTTATATCTATCTGCCTTGTCTTGATTGTTTGTTAATTGATTCCTATTATGTATAGCTATGGTTTTTTAGAAGATGAACAAATTTTTTGTATCAAATGCGTAAATCTTCTAATAAAATCTAGATCCAATAGATGAAAATCTTTCATTACTATTGGAATCATACTGAGTCGAGAATGTAATATAGGTATGCGAGGAAATGTACATACTTTTTTTTTAAAAAAATAATAAATAATTATTTGACTAATTTTATGCTTTAATTATTTATAGGTATATATATTTAAATAATCGAATTTGTTCCTGAATCAGATAATTCGCAAACAAATCATAAGTATAAATTACTGTATCATGAAGAATAAAAGGTTCTGCAACTGCAATTTACGATGTTAAGGGATACTTATTAACTTATGTTAGATCAAATGTAACAAAAAATTGATTTTGTTATTTATTTATTTTATTTATATTGAATCTTATATTTATTATATATTTATCTAACATTGTAGATATTTATATGAGTTTTCGAAGATAATAATAAACTAATTAACGTGGTATTTATAGATATTCAAATTTACAGTAAATAATTTTGTTTCAATTAAGGACTATATATTATTAGGAGATACTATATATATAAGAGTGTTTGGTTTCTTGGATTCCAAGTAAGTTTTTTCAAAAGAATATAAATCTTTTTTCATTTCCAAAAGTTTTATTTTATTGTAATAATTATATAGAAAGAACCAGCAAAATTAATATTGGTTGGTAAAGGAATATCATTTATTGGAGGTTTAGTTGTTTAAATTATTTAATCGATGAGCTAATGTTATACATTGCTATAGCAGATATGAATAAAAATATCCACTTGTTTCAATATGCCTCATCTAGTAATTATTTCATAATATTTCCAATAATGAATTAACTTTTAAATTCATTATTGTAAAATGTTCAGTCTCTTGCAGGACAAAACTTATTCGTCATGATGATTTTTATATTGGTGTATAAGTGAAAGTGATATTAAGCATGTAAAAATAAGAATTAGTATGAAGTAATCCTATTGAATAAGGAGTTTTGTAATATTTGGAAGAAGATATTAGCAAAATAAATTATTTTGTTTGTGTGGTAAATGAAATAAAAAAAAATTAGTCAAAATTTCTTTCATGAATTTTATAATTTAAATTCCATTATGATTTAGAATTCTTAATATTAGCATAATCTGATACCTGAGAGAATATATAAATGATTATAACTTTACATTCTAAAATAGTAACTAAATTATAACATATCATAAGTTTAAATCCCAAAGCTTTCAAGTACTTTGTTAATTTATATTTATCAACTTAATACACACTTTTTATTATAATTAATAACATTCATATTCATTCATTCATTTTAATAAAAATTAGACTTCTTAATTTGAAACACAGAAATTGACTAAATAGACAGATATAGAATAAGTCGGAATTAAAGATGGTACAGCAATTGATTTCAAATTTACAAAATGTTGCAATATAAGCTAAATTAGTTGCAATATATGTTGCAACATTATAAGTTGCAACATATATAGGTTAAAACTAATTGCAACGTAAGTTGTAACATTGAAAGTTGCAACATATTAATTACAGTTCCCATCTTTAGTCGGAATACTAGTTGATCTTTTGATAGTAGATAAATTGAAATTAATGTTGTGATTTTGATTTAATAACATCAAAATTACGAAAGGTTTTCTAAGTTGACTTGAATGTCTTTTAATTAATAAAAAGTATCAGATATATCAATAATCTGCTTTATGTTAGAAGAGTCATTTGAAATCCAAGTAGTATCATTTATAAATACAGTAGCAGCAATGTTAACAGAGTTTAATATTAGAATATAAGCATTTAGATCAGAAAACCAAGTTTGAGACAAGTTATATCCTAGATTTAATTGTTGGATTTTATATAATAATGGATCATAATAAATAATCTATAAAAGTGGAGAAATAATTTTACCTTGGTTGATACCAACTAATACATTATATTTAGATGATAATCCATGTTATTATTTTTTCTATTCAAAAAAGATTAGTAATGATGTTAATAAAATTTGAGGGAATTTTTAAATGAGATATAGCTTTTTGTAATATGTAAATGTTTACTCTGTTGTAGGCTTTAGACATATTTTAAAATAGAATAAATAGATTTTGTTTAGAATCATAACTATTCAAAAATTTATTCCTTCTGATATCAAATCTAGAAGATTCCAGAATACTGTTAATTATATGAAGCAGATCGATAGTCAAATTATGAGAAAGGCTAACAAAGTTTAATCCTTTTAAAATATTATATTCAATGCATATTTTAAATAGTCGATTTATTAGAAATTTGACATAAATTTTTCTGGTTATTTCTAATAAAGTAATTGGCCTAGTATTATTAAGATCACATTGTCATGGCTTGGATTTAGGAATAGGATAAATATAAGCAAGTTTTCACTTTGCTGGAATGTCTTGCAAAATTGTACAATAGTGAAAGATTTTGAAGAGCAATTTAAAAGCATCAATGTTAATATGTTTGATAAGTTTTTAAGTAATGCTTGATAGTCCAAAAAGGATGAAAATCTTTTTTTGAATTTTTGGAATTAGTTATATTTTGAAAGTAGGTACTAGTATGTATAAGAACTTTAGAAGAATCTAATTCCAGATATGGTTGATTTTGATCATCTTTTATGAGAACTTTATCTAGTATAACTAAAGTCTTTTTTCTTTTAAAGATCATTGCTGTTAGATTATCAGTGAAATTATTTACTCATTGATATATATATGAAGCAATATATTATTCATTTTCTATTTTATTTAAAAGTTTAATTTTAGATTTGAATAAAACAATGGCTTCTTTAAGGGATGTCAAAAATTTTGGAAATAATTTATTATCATAAGCTGTTTAAATATCTTAAGTAGGAATTTGTTAATTAATTAAAAGATTAATAATAATAATATATTTCTTGTTATTAATTATATTAAAATGTGCTTTGTAACATTGTTGATAAAATTTGTTGATTTTGTTGAGAGAGTTGTAAGAAGGTTTGGTGATTATAGAGGAAGTCAGTAGATCTTTGATTGGTAGTAGTATGTTTAGGAAGAATATTTTTGGCTGCTAGAATAATCATACAGCTAAAAGAATCCCAAATGGAGTTAAGATCATTTTGAGAGAAAGTTTGAGATTCTAAATTAGTATAGGATCATGAGAAATAAGATTATTTAGTTTTGTTGAAAATTTGTTTCATGTTTCTTTAGACATTTTATTATATAGAAATTTGGTTTTAGTCAATTTTTTTGTTTAAATGTGACATTAGATTTTTGATGAAATATATTATTTTTATAAAAGAAAAAAACTAATGGAGTGTGATTAGATTCGTAATTATATGAGTAAGTATTTAACGAAGTTGAAAAGGTAAGATCATGAGTAAGGAAAAAGGAGGAAAAAAGATAATTGAGAGAAGAGATAGAGTTTAAAGAAAAAAAAGTTGATGAATATAGGTGGTTAAAAAGTTTTAAATTGTTTATTAAACCTAGATTTTTAAGTTACGTAAGAAAGTATTGGTATCTTTTTTGTTTAGCTGAAGAATATTTTTATTTTATATCAATGTTAAAATCACTCATAACAATATGAGGTGAGTACTAGAAAAATGATTTTTTTTTTTAAAAAATGTTTTTAAGTAAAATAGATGTAGATTTGATAGTCATTTGATTCAAATCATTTTTAATTTCAAAAAAAATTTTTTTGTCGATTTGGTTTTTTTTCCCAGCACTCACCCCATATGATGATAATTTTTTGATTTGGCTTCTAATACAAGATCTAAAATCTTTTGTTGTATTTTTAATCTATATTGATGATCATAAGCAGTGTGTATATTAGCAGGAAGGTAGATTTGAATGATTCTTAATTTTTGATTGTTTTTCATTTAAAAATTTATAAAAATAATTCTATCATTAAAGTCTTAATAATTAAAAATATGTTTTAAAATAGAGGATTTGATAATAAAACCTATGCCTTGGCAATTTTGAGAGCGATTTTTATTTAATAAAAAACATTTAAAAGGAAGATCAAATGACTTGAAATTTTTATAAATGGAATATGATTGTTGCATAGTTAAATGAGTTTCTGAAAAACTAAGAATGTCAAAATTATGAAGTGAAAAAAATTGTTTTATTTGGTTTCTTTTTTTCATTTGAAATACAGTTTCTGACATTATGAGTTGCTATTTTAAAATTATTAATCTTTTCATTTAATTTATAAAAGAGAGATATATTTATTGGTTGTGTAGTATTTATTGAATAGTATTAGAGTGTTTTTGTAGAAATTGCATCATAGCATCTTTCATAATTTTAAGATCATTTTTAGTATAGCTAAAATTATTTTGTAAAGTTAAAATTTATATTTTTGTTTATTGATCATTTGGTCACAGCATATAAATGGAGAAAATGTTGAAGTGAAGAAGTGATTTTGAACAGGAACAAAGTTATTTGAAGAGGAATAACTATTTTTATTAAAGGCAGAATTGTTTGAAAGAGAATTATTGATTGGAGTTGGACTGCTAATATATAATTGATTTTCAATATTTTCTACTCAGTTGATAATATGAATTTGTACCTGTTTTAATTCAATGCATGCATTCTAAGTTTTTATTAATCCATCTTCTAATATTTGAAATTTATTTTCCAAAGAGGTTAGTTAATCCATCATTAATTTAATAGCTGATGCAATAGTTAGAGGAAAAGTATGATTTTATTTATCTGAGTGATTCATTTAATTATCTTTTCTGTTTGAATGGTATTAAAGTAGGTGGGTCTTATTGATTGACTATTTGAATTGTAATTTATGAAATATTAGAATAATTATCACATGATTGGATCTCGTGATCAGGATAACCACAAGAATTATAATGTTAGACTCCTAAAGTGACCTAAAATAAAAGACTATTTTTAAATATTTGTTGCAAGTTAAAAATATAATCGTAATCATCAAGATTTTTTAAAATTGATATACGTATATTACATATATAGTCTAAGACAATATTATTTGTCTTTTGGAATAAAACATGATTTGCCTTAATTTGAATCAAAAAGTCAAACAAATCTAATTGAGTGGTATTAAAGGGTAGGCTGGTAAATTTGAGTTCAAATTGTTGGTAAAGTGCAGTTTGAATCTCATAGATATCAGTGGGTTCAATTCTAACTGATAATTTCATTAATAAAATAGACCAAGTAGCATCGTAAAATTGTTGAATTGAGTCAGATAATTCATATATAATGAAAGCTATTTGCCAAGGATCTCTGAAAATATGGAAGGATTTGCAGATTTTCAATAATTACCAAAAATATTTTATATAATGTAAGATTTTACAAAGAGGTAATATCATTGACTTTAATGTATCTGCCTTTTCGTCATCTTTGCATTGTTGTTTGGCATTAGAATTAATTACTAAAAAGATTGGGTTGTATTGTGTTTTTTCGACTTTATCAGTTGCTTATATTAGAGATTCTAAAATGTGAAAATTAATATAGAATTTTCTTTGTCTTGATTATAGTACAAACTTTTGAATCTATTGAAATGGCTAAAAAGTTTATTGATTGTGTAATGTTTTTCTATAATTGAGGAACCAGTAATATCTTTAATATCAGTAAATATGTAAAAATGCATTAGTGAAGTAATAATAGTGAAAGGTTTATTGTTGATGTCATCATTTTTGTTGAAATGTATTATATATAAGGTTAAAAGTCTTTATTTCAGATTTCTTTTTTTCATTTAGTGTTATTAGTTTG